AAATTTTACAAGCACATTAATATGTTTTAATAATTTAAGTAATTATTTTTAATGCTGCATGTAAAAGTTTTTATCGATTGCAAAATTCATAATTGCAGTTTTTTAATATATCATTTACATCCAAAATTAAAGGTGGCAATAAAATTATTTGGCAACATATGTATTGAAAGCCTCTTTCCACATATTTCTTCTTTAAATTTTTCAATTCAATTCTAATTATATGTTCAGAAAACAAATACAGAAACAAGCATGGTAACTTTTAAAATCAAAATTCTTTCTTAAGTTTTGATTTTAGTTAACAACAGTAAAAATTTAATCTTATGAACTAGCAAAATTAGATATTACTTTTACTATAAAAGAGAATCAAATTATTTGTATGATTTAATTATGTTTTTACATTAAAAAGTATTTTTAATGATTAACTCAATTTTCAGTTAATCTAAAATTTTAGGACAAGCTTTTGAGAAATACTGATCACTTTCAGAGGTGGTTTTCTTAAGAGGATGATTGCTGCAAGATACACATATATTCACCATTAATTTTTATTATACAAAGTTTTTCATTGTTTTAATTAATGCATAAACAATGGCTATAATGGTAGTTATTATATGAACAAAATTTCAAACTTGAAATTTTAATTTAAAAAAATTATATTTTCTTCAGTCATATATCAGGTTTTAACGAATGTTTCCGGAAGTAACAAAAATATCGTCTACACAAACAATTCGCGCTAGCATGTTTAATTATATTTTGTCAAATGATTTTTGGCGTTTGAAAAGACTTGCTTTAGAACATCGTATTGTGAAATTTGTAGAAAAGTGTACTTATCATTAAGTACAGGGAAATGGAACTATCATGCTACCAGATTAGAATCATCATTTACTTCTAGTTCTGTTGCAGAAAGTCAGCTACAGAATGTCACCAAATCATGCATATAGCTTTAGGTACTAATGTTGTATCATATAACATTGAACGTTTAGTACCGAAAGTTCAAAAACAAGGACTATGACATTCAAAAAGCAGAGCACTCTGACCAGCCTACTGATGCTGATGAGGTTAGCCTACGAGAACTTCTGGAACAAGATCAGTATGTAACCACTCAAAGGCTCGCCGAAGAGTTAGACATAAGTCCATGTTCATTAGTCGTGCTATGCATTGCATAAACTCGATGTACAAGTTCAATCGCTGAGTGTTACATGAGCTGACTCAAGCAGATAAGAACAGACATATTAGGACCTGCACTAACCTGCTTGAATATCAAATACAAGGGCAAAATTCTGGACCACATTGTCACTTGTGATGAAAAGCAGATTTACTTTAACAACACAGGAAAAAATGGGGGTGGTCTGTGCCTGGTGAGACCGTTGGCAGCATTGCAAAGAGCAATTTGACTAACAAAAAGATCATGCTTTATATTTGGTGGGATTATCTACAAAGAATACCTAAAAAAAAAGTAAAAACCCTAGACAGTAAGGCATACAGCAAGATGCTAGTCCATGTTGATGCTGCTATCAACGAAAAATGGCGAATTGAGTTCCGGCACAAAAAGGTAATATTCCATCAAGATAATGCAAGACCACAAGTGTTTGCATTCACCGGCTGGACTCTGTACTGACTCGAATAGGATCTTTTGCCACACCCACCTATAGCGCGTTGAGCGCCATGTCAGCCATCTGTGGCTGACACTAGACTTTCCGTTTAGACCGCATCAGCCATCTGCGGTCAGTACTAGACTTTCTGTTTAGACCGCATCAGCCATCTGCGGTCAGTACTAGACTTTCCGTTTAGGCCGCATCAGCCATCTGTGGCTGACACTAGACTTTCCATTTAGGACGCGTCGACCGCCGCTGGCTGAGAGAGTGTAACATGATATATAACTATACAATTTACACCGTTTTATGGAATTACAGAAAAATTATTTAAAATTAACTTAATTTTGATTCATTACAGGACTAATGGATTTCATTGAAAAATGGTAAGCATAAAAACGGTTTCCATTACAGCTATTACAAATTGTGACAACTGTCTCAGTCTTTTTTCTGGCCATTACTCTACCAGCTTCAGTTGCATTTTTATATAGCATAATTTACAATATTTCTGTACTTCAGAGGCTTTTTCCGGTTTTCTTTGGAGTTTATGCTGTCGATTTTTAGATATTCTTGCATTTCTGTTCGATGGAATATCTTCTTTTTCACAACTTGTAAGGGATAGCGCTAATTCTTTCCAGACTTCAGTAATGCTAATTTTCTGCTTCGTAATATCTTTGCATAGAATGTAACTATTTACAAAACAGACTTGGAGCGTAACATGTTGAATGAATGCCTATAGGAATCACATTACAAATGTAAACTATCTTCTACTGCGATAAGAATCGCTGGCCTTTTAAGCGGCGTGCGTGGCCTGAACGGGATTGCCTAAGAAATATGCTTGGCGCTCAACGTGTTAACCTCAACATCACTCCTTTGGACTTCTACCGCTACATCTACATCTAGCCGATGCTATCTTCCATTCTGCACAGGACGTCCGAAATGTGGTTGATTTGTTTTTGTACTCGCAGACATTAAGTTTCTGGGCTGAAAGCTTTGAAAAACTACCAAAACTTGAATCAGAAAATCATGGATTTTGGTGGTGATTACTAGCCACACTAAAATTACTGCTTTCATGTTTTTTATTCTTTCTAACTTTATTAAGAATGTTTTTCGGCAGAAAACTTTTGTTACAACCAGATATCAAATTGAAATTTTTACTCTTTGATATGGAAGATGTCTTAAATATCAAATTTATAAATACTTTTTATAATATCTTGATTATTTTTAAATTTGTACTTTAAAAAATTTTTACTACTTTCTGAATATAAAATATTTATATTTTAAAACACAGAATTAGTTACCCACTTCTAAAATTCTGAAACATTTAAGCATGTGGTCATTCATTAACAAGATTTAAAAAAAAAAAAAAAAAAAAAAAAAAAAAAATGAGGGCTCATGTAAATCAGAAGTTTGCCAAGCAAAATTTTTGTTGCCAAATTAAAAATTAGCCTTAAGTTTCAAATATGAACACCTCAAAAATGATTTGAAGGATTAATATAAAATTTGGTATTTATGTATAATTTGAGGCACATAACTGAACTATGGGATAAAAAAATTAACATGTCCCTTTAGAAAAAATTTAATTTTGCATCAACATATAAATTTAGAGTAATGGTACAGTAGAGCTTAACTTGTCTGATCTTCGCTTATCCAACATACTATTGCAGTTAAAGGGGGCGAACTAAAGAAAGATATTAATTAGCAACAAGAACTGGAAGTCGTGAATGGAGTTTTTAGCCCAAAGAAGGTATTATAGCCCTCCTTTGGGCTAAAAACTCCATTCACAACCATTAAAAACTCCATTCATCCCTGTATTATACCCCAGAAAAGCTATTAGTCTCAAAATGACATTTTGTATTGGTTCATTATAGACGGTATATCGCTTTTTAAAATTATTGCCACCAAATATCATCGCCCTGTAAAGAAATTAAATAATGAAAAATCTGCATAAATGTATGTATATTTCTCCCGTTGCGATAAAACAACGGTACACAGAGCCATCGAATTTTGAATGATGTAATCCTACTGCGAATATGGGCATCTGAAAGACCAAGATGGTGACTCCCCAATGTAACTAACTGCCATATGCCAACCTATGCATCAGTGCGCTTTGGAAAGGATAAAAAGTAACTATTGCAGGATGTGACTATCCACAATGGTAAAAGAAACTGAAAAAGGATAAGACATGATTGAAAAGTTGAAACACATCAATGTAAAGGATGTTGCTTATTGAGTTGCATGGAGCTGGGCAGGTATAGAGTCACAATAATTGCAAAATCCGATGATGAAACTATGAAATGGAAAGCTCAGTTGAACTCTACCTTCAGGGTAACATACTCTTAGATATGAAGATGCATCTCTGCAAGAAACTGAAAGTTGGATGAAGGTTGATAATCAGTATGAAAAAAACTGATGAAGAAATTGTTGCTATTGTCAATAGCAATGAAAATGAAAATCAAGATTAAGCTCCAAGTGTTGAGCCTTGCAGATTTTACATAACAACAGGGTTAAGGCTCTAGAAACTGCAGTTAATTATATTGAGCAATAAGAAGATGCTGCAAGAATTGACATAAAGATGTTGAAAAGATGGCGAGACTTGGCAGTGAAGAAACAGTACTCGTCAAGAAAACAGACTATGATAAAATATTTTTTTTAATTATCACAAGACTGAATTTTTTAAATATTGCAAGTACTGTATTTGTATACAGACGACATAATATTTTCAGTTTCCTACTTTGTCACAAAACATGATTATTAGGATTGTAATGTAATGTAATATATGTGTGTACTGCAAGGATTGCAATGGGTAAAAATATAATTTTACTCATTACAATCCTTGCAGTACACTCGTGTAATGTGTAAAATTATAATTTTGTTTGTTTTTCACATGTTTCTATTATTACAACATTTTCACTTATCTAACATTCTGCCTAACTATTTATGTCGGATGAGCAAGACTACTATATGTACATGAGTACGATATAGTATATGCTAAATCATGGTTTTTGAGACATGAAAGATGCAATTTTAAGGTTTTTAACTGACCAACGAAAACAAAAGATAAAGAACTGTTCCATTTTTATACTTTTCCGGGAGGGGACTTACACTAAAAAACATTCTTTTCCTAATTTATGCTTGCATTACATTTCTTTCTTTCTCTCTTCCTCCCCTCTTTTTTGTATTCTGTGTAAAATACCAGGGCAACAATAGGTTTTTGAAGACAATAATTCCCATAGGTAATTACTCTCAGTGGACCTCTAATGAGTCTTTGAACAGCCAATATCTCATTTAATTCCCAATACCATGATATATAAATTTGATTTTCAAAAATGTTAGTTCTCAATGAGTAGTTATTAGTTTAAAAAAGCCTGCTCATACTACTAAAAGAACTGTTAATAATATTATACTAACTTCTAACTCCTGAATTTTTGAGTTGTAATAATTAGTAAGATTTTCATTAGTTTTCCATCCCATAGCTCTAATTTCAATCACTTCAAGTAACTTCAAGCGAGATATTATATCCAATCTATCCTCACGAGCAGCATTGCGAAGGGTGCTAAAATAACGATCAACAGCATCTATCAAAGAAAAGAAAATGGTCAATATCTATCACTATCTTTAAATAAAGTGCATTACGCAAACCACTTCCATACAAAAGGAATACAAAAGAAACCTTTATGACTAGAATCAAGTTCCTCTCCTCGCTTTTTAAGTATAGCACACATTGTTGATACATCTGCAGCTGTAAATTCATCAAAGTTGCAGTTACTTATACTCACATTCAAAGCTTCTAGATCTGCCAGGATATCTGCAAAAAGAGTTTAATTAGGAAGAATAATATAATAAAGATATACATCATTGTGTAATATTTAAGAAGCTAGAAATAAAGTTTGAATAAATATAAATAAGATATTATTGAAGGAGTTAAAGCAACAAGAATAGCAAAATATTTGTAAATTTGCTGGTTTAAATATAAAACAATTACTCTTCAGCTGCAGAAGTGCAAATGATGAAAGACAAGCCAGTGATAAGATAAAACGATAATAAGGAAGTTACTAGCGCCCTCGATTAATGAAATATGAAGACAACTATTCAGTTATTTCCTTAAAAGCTAAGAAATTCCTTACTTAGTTTTCCTTACTTGGCCTGAGACAAACACATTTTGTTTTCCAAAATAAATGTTATAAGCAAACTTGGATTAGTTATGCCAAGACTCCTTAGTCCTACCCTAGTTGATATCTGTATGCACTACTATTGAATATAAAATTACTTGAAATTTTAAACTTCCTTGAGTGGTATGTCGACGGTACTATTATCCTGTTTGAAGGTCATAAAGATTTAAATAATGTTCTTTCAATAATGAATTAATTATATTGATCCTGCCATTTTTGAACTTCAGACATCCAATTGTCTTCTGTTCCTTGACATCTTGGTTACATGTAACATACCCAACTTTCATACTACTATTTACCTTAAACTTTTATCTGTTTGCCTTTCACTGTGCTTCAAATCATGTCAGTTGACTAAACAGAAGTTAGCTTCATTTTTCATGTATTTCAAGTCTGTTCCTCCAAATCAGCTCTTGATTAAGAACTAAATTACTTAAAAGCAGTTGCTACTAGCAGAGGCTTTCGTCTAACATTATTGACCAAGCAGTTAAAAACTCTTATCTCAACATAACAAAAAGCACCATCTTTCTTTAGGAAATTATGAGAATTCTGTTGCCATTCCTTTCTATCCATCTCTAAGCTATAAAACTGCACATATTTTATAGATATGTGTGCTCATTTTCTCTTCTTAGAGTAAAATTTGCAGTTCTATTCTTAAGGACACTATTTCAGATATGAATCCTGGGTATATACAGGATTCCTTGCCAATGTCGCTTAATTTACATTAGACAGCCTTAAAATTTTGTGCTAAGGAAAAAGAGAAATACGTTAGGAAAATAAGAACCACATAAATCCTCTACTGCCCTATACTGTTGGTCAGAAAATCACATTCTCCATTTTTCTGTAGTCAAAATTATTCAAAAACACTTTCCAATAAGGAATTAAATTTTCTAGAGGCATTTCACATTCATAAAAATCTCAGTTCTAGTTGATCATCCCAATTCCAATCTGTTTTTAGCCTTAGCTTTTAAGGAAATTATTTTCTAATCCTTTTCATTTTTCATCAATAGAGGGCACCAGTACCTTGACTTTCTTCCTTTTATTCATTCTGCTTTATCTTATAACTGGCTTCTCTTTTGTCATTTGCACTTTTGCAGCTGAAGAAATTTATGAATATTATGCCAATTCTTGTTGCTTTTACTCTTCCAATAACTGTTTTTCAGCACATTATTTTAACTCAAATATAACCAAGATAAATGAGAAAATTTTTGTTTGTTACCTGCACTAATACTCTCTGAAATATCCAACATATTTAACACAGTATTTGTATTATGATTCTACAGCTATTAATATAATAATAGTATAAAAAAATCTAATTATACAATAAGTTTCTAAACCAAGTTAAATAAAAATCAAACACTTTTAATTATCAAAATCAATTTCAATAAATATGAAACATCTCGTATACAGATTTTAAAAAATCATTTTACAATATTTACTTCATAACAAGACTACTAATTTAAGTTCTTGAGACAATCCAAAGTGAGAAAGCAGTTTTGAAGCTTCAATTTCAATTATTAATATGATGAACTTTATTTACTATGATAGAACATCTAAAAGCTAAGAAATCTCTAAGGTAAACTTATAAATAATATATATTTATATGCAATAGTTAAAGGGCATTTAACATATGTGGACCAATGTGGTTTAGAATTTAACCAATTTAGAATTTAACCAATTGGTTAAATTCTAAAACTATATCAGTTGGTAACCCTCAAATGAAAAGGGGATAAGAAATGCTTCATAAGCATTTAGCTCAATGCCAACACTGGCTAAAGCTTGTATTTTGATACTAATGCAGTTGTAAATTGCAGTCTTCTTGATGATATTATACCTTTTGAATATGTGCATGGCATCAGACTGAGTAATCTAGACATGTGGATTTCTGTCTAATTCTTTTCTACCTAAATGCAATTTTAATGTCTCAATTACTTTATTATAATTTTTTTAAATCAATGATAGACCTCCAATGCAAGTTTCGACATCACCTGCTAAATATGTTTTTACATAGTTAAATATCTCTACATGATTTAGCCCAAAGTAATTATAAACAGTACATTTAGGGATTTTGCCCCCGAATTTTTTGACTACTAAATGTGGAAGTTTAATCTGAGAAGAATTCAAACCCAATATTGTCAATTTATAATGCATAGAATTATCCTGCACTTTATTTTTGCATGTCTTTCTGAGATATCAGTTAAATCATATTTTGAAACTTAAAAATCTCTTCTTTATAATTTTTAGCAGACATTGCATCCTTTTCTAATTGATTTACATCTAATATAAGTTTTGCTACTTCTTTATTTAATCCTAACAAGTCCCATTTTTTTTCTCTGTTAATACTCAAAACAATTTTTCAATCAGTTTAGTATTCAGAGTAGCAAAATTTAGTTCTGTTTATAATTTTTAATAATTTTCATAACAGCTATTCTTAGCACCAAGTGCTTCAATATGTTCTTCTCACGTCTATTCATTTTTAAAAAGAGGAATTTCACATACTCTTTTTCTCTGCTGTCCTGGTATTCCCATTTTATGTGTTAACAACATTACCATTTGTTAGATTTCTGTTTGAATATAAAATCCAGAGAGAAGTGATCATTTCACTTGTTATAAACACACAAACAAATTTTAGTTGCATAAAATAGAGTGCTTTATAAAAAAGAAGACAAGCTAGAACGTTGTAATTACAGAGGAATTACCTTACTGAATTCAGCATATAAAATCTTCTCCATTATTTTGTATAAACGACTGCTTACATACATTTCTACTATTGAGAATTACCAGTGTGGGATTCCAGAAGGGAAAAGCAACAGCTGATCGATTGCATTATATTAGACAAATCTTGGAAAGAACTAAAGAATATAACATTGAACCAACCACCTGTTCTTTGACTTTAAAGCTGCCTATGACAATGTTAACAGAGAAAAACTACTTGAAGCAATGTTAGAATTTAATACAGTCAAAAGTCATTAATTCAGACACTTATAATCAGGAACACAAAGCTACAAACTTTCTGCGCATAGGCGTTTACGCATACGCGTAAGACTTTTACGGCTGCGCATATGTGTGTGCGTATGCACATAATACGTTTACGCATGTGCGTTCAATGTATGACAGATGGTATAAGCTAAAACTATCCAATTCAGTAAATGTTGCAGATCGCGTTGTTCCTTAATCTTCGAATTGGATCCGGCTTATTATTTTTTGCATACTGTTAAAGCTATTTTATAAAAGTAAGCCTGAACTTTCGATTATGTCAAATAGAATTTCCGATGCTGGAGATCCCAAAGGATCTACAAAGCGAAAGTATGTTTCGATGTCCATCAAACAAAAAGTGGAATTGCTGCAAAAAATGGATAAAGGCATATCCTTTGTTTCTCTAACCATTCCGAAATCTGTTTATCAATTTCACGCTGCTCCGTGGTGGGGGGGGACACAATGAATTGGAAGTTGATCTGTCAGCACTATCCTTATCTTCCGGGAAAATGTTTTTATTTTATTTGGCTTATAATTTACTAAATGTAGTATTTCATTTCGATGTACTCCGTCTTTGATATGATTTAAATCATATTCCTCGTCATTATAATTCGCTTCCGATAGTGAAGAAAGTGACACAGATGTTATTGAAAACGAAAAAATTTCGATTGACAAATTAGTCGATATTCTCGACACAGCAATTACGGGACTTGAACAGTGGAACTTTGTAACTGAAGAAGAAATTATGTCTGTTTATAGAACTAAAGAGAAAGTATTATCACATAAAACGAAGCAACTTAAACAACTTACATTGAAAGAAATGTTTAATAAAGTAAACAAATAAATAATAAGCTTTTTTTTTTAAATTTTGATACCCTTTAGAGCATAATTGTTCTTTATTTCATAAATTACGGTTTCATATTTTTAATTTTATAATTTCTGCATACCATCTTACCAGATTTAAACTGATGATATATAATCCGGAATAGCTGAAGTTCTGACGAGTCCGGATTAATGACTTTTGACTGTATCAATGAAGAAACTGATAAGCTTTAAAGGATGACTCTTAAAAATGTGATATGTAGAATAAAAATTTACCTTTCAGAACCCTTTACCTTTCTAAAATACCTTTCACAACCTTTTTATACTGAGAAAGGATTAAGACAGGGAGACTCATTATCTTGCCTGCTGTCTAACATAGCTTTAGAAAAGGCCATAAGAGACTGGAATAAACACAAGTGGAACAATATTGCACAGAACCATTCAATTGCTGGCTTTCGCTGATGACATTCATATCATTGGGAGATCAAAACGAGCTTTGGTCGAAGTTTTTGTCTCGCTTGAAAATGCAGCAAGAAAGATGAGAATAATCATTAATGAAGACAAACCAAAATTTATGATTGCATCTAATAAAACTGTTGATTTATCCCCCTTTAAGATACACAGAAATTTTATTTCATGCAGAAAAAGAAGAACTGATAGAAATTTCCTGTGATCAAAATCTAACTGAATGTTTAAAAAATAACACACTTATTAACTTTTAGTTGAACCCCCCCCCAAAAAAAAAAAAAATTAAAGATATTTCAAATAAAGCTATTAAATTTTTATTGTTTTTTTTGCACAACCTATTTGCGTGAACATGGGTTTTCTTCCATGTGGTTAAAAGTGAAATACGTCCAGACAAAGCAATTGATCTCTCTTAAACAGCCCCAAATTTCACACTACACTAAAGTGTAATAAATTAAAGTATTATAATTAAAATTTTGATAATTAAAATGCTAACAAATTTTTAATCTAATATTTTTATGTGTGCATATTTAATACAAAGAACCAAAAGGTTGTGCAAATGACACTATATATATTTTTTAATATTTTTATTGAGAAACTGAAAAATTTATAACAAGATAGGAAATAATGATCAGATAAACTGAAAAATAATCATTGCAAAATGTAGTGGTGGTACTAAAGTTTTTAAATTTTTGTTTAGTTGGTATGTTTAGTTAAAAAGGTTGAGAACTGCTGCTCTAGATGGTCCCATTGTTCCTAATGGCACTGAAGTAGGGGTAGATGAATCCTCGGCATAAGTATGTTATATCTTCATCATACATATATTTTTTTATATCAGCAGATTTTTTTCAAAACATTCACTCTCTTCTCAAATGTCCCATTTATATCTTTTGTAAATATTCTTGAAGAATTTCAAAATTAAATAATAACAGTCAAAAGGAAAGTTTTCATGAAATTCAATCTCCTACTTTCTTTTTTGAAGGTCATGCTTTTGTCACAATAGGTCTAACTATAGCTACAAGGTAGAAGTACAAGAAACTTTTTCAATGCAGACAGACAGCATAACATCTGCTTTGAAATGTTAGCAAACAACCAATCAGGCACCCTGAAACTTTTGTTCCAGTGTAACTGATTGCTCCTCATTAATTATGAAGGTTCTGCTACAAGTAGCACACTTTGAAATCTATAATAATCTAAAATATTAATCCATACTTTGAATAGCAGTCACAAAGGAAATTATGTCAGATGAATAAAATTAGGGATCATTGGTAAATTCTGCCTGAAATTAAAGGTTTTTAAATACCACATGAACCCTGTATAAAAATACAGACGTCTTACAGAGACCAACTCTGAAAGTAATCTGTATTTTCGACAACATGAATAACATAATATAATGACATGAAATATTTGCTCTCCACGGAAGACCAAAATTGTCTAGAGCCATAGGTTAAGGAAGGATTTCATTCCACTTTGCTATTGCATTTTTCATGAATTTAATTTAAAATAAATAATAAATTTTTAATAAATTTAACTTTGAATACAAATAATTAAGTACTTTTACAAAAATAGTTATAGAACTAGGACTAAAGTATGCAGAAAAGGGATCTGGGGCAGAAAATCAGAAAGGGAAAAAATTAGTTCTTTACATTCACACAAAGGAATCCTTATAAATAGTGTACATTAATAGACTGGACTTAGTCTACTGGCTCATACTTAATTATACTATTTTCAAGCACACATTAATGGAAATACCCTAACTTATATACTTTTTAATATGGGGGGATTGATTGAGAGAAAAAATATGGGTTATTTTTAGGCTCATTATTGGCATATATAATGCAAATAAAAATAAGATATTTAAGAGAACTATCCTAATAGAATGCTATAAGCTTTGCTAACTATGCCCACAGAATTTTACCACACTTTCCCGAATGGTCTGACCACTTCATAAACTGGAACTCAAGTGTAATTTAATCTTTGATTTTTCATATAAAACATGTATAAAATGAGTGAAAATAAACATTACCAGCTTTAGATTTATGGACCACAGCATCTTTAGACTCTGGCACTTGGAATTTAATTTGTTCAGAGCTAGATGTTGACTTAAGGGGCCGAGGTTTCTTCAGAGGTTCTCTAATTGTTCGAGCACTTTTCATACTCATTGTGAAGCTACAATAAAATTAATGTAATTTAAAAAAATCATTTAAAAATTTTTAACATATTTTTCACAAGAAAATGGAGAAATGATTCACTAATATTTAACAAAATCCAGAGAATTAAAATTAGGAAATATATTTTGAATTTTGCCAGTTATACCTTTTTGGGAAAGTTGATTTTGAAGTTGTAATAAATGCCTGAAGAAATATGTTTCCAAACACTTTAATTAAAGGTCCTAAATGCAATGCATAGATTTAACTGCTAAATACAGAGAAGACAAACACATGAAAAGATATATTCATATGTGCACTTCCTCAGTTCACTAACTTTCACAAAGCACTGATGAGGGTTGACTGAAAATAATAGAAGATTCTTTTATATCTAACTGAAATAAGGGATTTAATGACTATATGGTACAACGTGATTAGACAATGAATCTATGGAAGGCATTCAGAACTGCTCTAGCAAAAGATATAGAACAATAAATTTCTTAGAAGGAGGTCATAAAAAATCTTATCGAGATATCTTGAAATTCATACTGAAATTAAGCTCTGAGATGTAGAGTAGGGATGAAAATTCGCAGAAGAAAAAAAAGAGTGAAAAGTTATGCCAAGTTAGATGAAGTGATGAAAGCAACTGCTACATACTCATGTTGGAATTAGTTTATGAAAACAGTCATATTTTACATTTATAATAGCAAAACATTTTTGAATATAAAGTTGTTTTAATTTGAAACACAAATGAAATACACTATTCCTGCATTTCCTTATCCATAGAATATCATAAGAAAAGCAACTTATACCTTACAGCTAAAGAAATGCTCATATCACAAAAATTAGTAATTACATGTTATATTATATTACATCATTTCCACTTCCTTTTACAACTGAATATAAACACATTTATGTGTATATTTGTGTATGGTCTTTATTAAACAAGAAGATTTTTGAAATCAGTACATGATTTTAACATTATTATAATATTCACATAATGAATACATTTAATAGAACAATCGGATAAGCATAATTTCAAGTTTTAATGAAAATTAATATAATTAATGTAAATGCAAATAAGCATAAAAAAGCAAAAAGCTCAATGAAATTGACATAAAATATATAATGTAGATATAGATGAAGAGTTTTAATGCAAAGAAGACGATAATTTACTAAAAATTAAGGTAGCTGCTAATAAGATAAAAACCATACTTAGAAATTAAGGCAATCAAATATAAACATAAGAATTAAAATGAAATGCTTGCTAAGAATAGTCTTTACAACAAAAGAACAGTTACTAAATGTTCCAAAAAACCATTCAGTTCATCAAAGTGCATTACTGTCAATGAAATATTCTTCACCATTTTCAATTTTGATTTGTTTTACATTGTTTAACCCTTTGAGCGTTATGACCAGGTTTATCCAGTCGCCAGAAGTTTTGCTACTTGGTATATATTAGCTTATAATTTAAGATATTTTGCTTTCCTATTTTCTTTAATAATGTAAATATCATCTTAATGAATGTAAGTTTATGAAAATACAGACTAAAATAAGTAATTATAAGAACTAAATTAATAAATGCTGTTTAAATACTGGTCTTCATGACAGATCTAAAATCCTGTGCCACTCAGAGGGTTAAAATTAAATAATAATGGAATAAAATATGACTCAGAAGCAAATAGTTCCAATTATTATACAGAAACTTTATAATGAAGTTTCTGTATAATAATCTTATGATAAAAGTAAAATATTCAGGTTAGAGTTTGATATCAAAGTTTTCATAATGTTGACAAATAAATGAACACATGTGAAGAATGCTAATGCTGTAACATAAAATTCATGCATCTTAAGTTACTCTGAAATAAATTGTGCACAAAACAAGAAAAATAAAAAAAAAGGAACCTACTTAAGGTACATAAAGAACACTTATTTCAGCAAGAAACAAAGTATTCTTTGTTTGAATACCATACAGATCTCTGCTAGATACATGGTCATAAAAAATCCATTTTCCAATATATGGTCCAACATTCTTCTTTCTGATGAAAGCCACAATTTTAATAGTCTGAAAGATTAAATCTAAAAACTATTATTAAAAACTGTGCTAGTAGTACCAGTCCCGATTTTCAAGATTCTTTAGAACATTATATTTTATGCACTGCAGATTAAGTGAGACTATAGCTTTCTGAGTAAGTAGCCATGTGAGTTGGCAACATACTACCTCGCTTCAGCATTATGCATATACTGCAGCTCAAACATGCTCTATACAAAGGGTTAGTGTCAGGAGATCTGGCTGGCCAATCCATGCAGTGAATACCCTCCATATCCAAGTAATCATCGACTAGCTACGCCCTATGTGAACAAGGTTTATCATCCATTAAACAGAACCCCAGGACCAACTGCACACCTGAAAAGCCAAATATAAGGATCCAAAATTCCTCTCTAAACCTCATAGCAGTCAGGATGCTTTTGTAAAAACATGCAAGGGCATACTGCTCTCCAACTAATGCCTGTCCAACCATTACAACTCCACTAATGTAATGATCCTTTTCCTTTATGAGGGAGAGATGGTATTGTGTTCTAGACTCTTTCTACATACAGGTACACTGAGAATCAGTGTCCAAGCTGAATCTTGATTCATCTGTTAAAAGCATGGTGTTCCACTGAAGCCTGTATGCTGGCTGCACCATGCTAAACATACACTCTTGTTTGTTACTGTGAATGGCACGTAAACAACGGATATTTTGGCATACAGCCTTATCTCGTAAAGCCTTTGGGCAACTGTAGACTATGGAATTCGAGGTCCATTGGCAGCATACAGTTCATGTGAGAGCCGTGAAGCTGAATCAGTCCTGCATTGCTGTGCTTTGTGCCAAATAATGATCCTCATTTATTGTTGTGGATCTTCATAGACTTAGTCTAGGTCTTCTCAATTGGCTCCAATGTCTTGAAACTGTTTCCATTAACTGCAGATAACACTGAGCATTACAGAGCTAAATTATTAAACTTGATTGGAATCAACTGGCAATAGACATATAAATTCATAAATTTTAATTAAATACATCTTTGCTTCAAAGACGTGCCTTGCACCATTTTGCATCACTCTGTACCATGTTACATCATTCTTTCCCTGCCATTTCTCTGCACTGTGAAATCTTTAGCCCAATTCCTGCTCAGGATTGACACAAAGTTTTTCTGTCTATAAATATGACAGTTGTTAGTATGCATTACTTTTTCTCCCCTACTGCTGCTTGAATAAACCATGTCTTTAGCTTCACCTTTCTAATTCTGCATTATGTCATCCTAAACTTCTCTGCATTGCTGATAAATTTTAGCCAATCAGACTAAAGAAAAATTTTACTATATACACCGTTACAATCCATCTACCTATGCTTACTAGCTTAAAGGACGTTTTTTTTTTAGCTGCTTCTGTTAAAAATATAATGTGGCATGATCAAAATTGTAGAGTGCAGATTGCCCCATTGTGCTGTGCCACTTAATACAGTAATCAACAAGTAATAAAGGTGTATTTGAATTATTAAGTGATTTTTGTGATTGTTCAAAAGTTCTCTACATCTTCTACTATGTATGTGCAACAATTTAGATGTGCTAAAGCATACATAAAATATGCATAATTAAAAATGTTACAGTCATGGCAGATTTAAATACTTTCTTTTTATTTTAGTTGATACTTGTGACCACAAATACTTTGAACAAGGTGCCCATTCTTGTTAGAACTACATAAAGTTTTCAGATATAATTTTGAGAACAATTATTATGAACATACTGGCAGAAGCACAATGTGACATATTTTAAACTAGACGGTTAGTTGATAAGCAGAAAGGTTTGGGTTTGCAATCCTCTTGTTAACTATTAAAAGTTTCAGTACTGGTTTCAGACTTTCAATTTGCAATATGTAAAGGATGGAAAGGGGAAATACCCAAATTAAAATAGGGAATTAAGGACTATTTGCTAATTAAAGCTATTATTTTGTTTTACATGTTTGTGATCTTACACACATGCATGTAATGGAATATATATAGATGTCATATACATTACATATACACAAGCAAAATGCTAAGTAGAAAATTGCTAAGGCAAAAAATATGCAAGTTAATATGGTATTTTCATTTTGCGAAAAATTTGAAATGAGATAAAAGATGAATCTTACTTTTGCAATGATAATCTTTTACATGATTATTTTTACCATTAAAAAATAATTAGATTTAAAGCTGAGAGAAACTGGTGGTTAGAGTAGATATAAGGATGCTCCTTGGATTATTGCTAAGTTGTTGTTTCATTTATCACCAAGTTGTTTCATTTATGGTAATGTTTGAGAAGTTGAATGCTATGGAAACCCTATTATGACATAATTGGTTGCGGTGAATTTGAATGCTAGGAAGAGATTTGGAAAGTGTGTGATGGATTTTGGATGAAGTACGTTGTTATTTTGTGGTTAACACGGTAAAATGGCTGAATGTGGCAAGATTAATTTGAAGTTTCTGTACGATTTGGAATGAAAGAGGAAAAAACATTAATTGACTGGTGTAAAAATGAAAGTTTACTTAGTAGCCATTATTAATTGTCCTGTTTGTAGGAAGAAAATGCATACAGTCGAACGTTCGTCGATAATGGCAATACGGAGGATATTTCTTACTCTTATTTTTGTGAATTTATGTGACGATGTCAGTATACACACTGTAGTTCAGGTAATTTTAGGAAGTCTTTGGATGATGGTAAGGGATTTTTTTTTTTGATTGAAGACATGTAAATTCCTATATAAGGTAAGTGGATATTTCCTTTCACTTTTTAAGTGTATATAGATTGATGTGCACATAGACAAAGGGAGTGCGCAATACCTAGTTTGTACAATTCTATGATATTTTTTTAAGTGAAAATAGGTTGATGTGTACATGGATACTGAGTTTGTGCAATTCTTTGACTTGTTATTTTGAATTTGTGTAGTGGTGATTTTTGGCTAAAAGTTGCTGCTACACAAAGCCAAATTAAGAAGTCAATGAA